CACACACACACACACACACACACACACACACATAAATAAATAAATGTTTAAAAAAAAAAAGTGGGCATTTCCAAGGGGTCTGTTGAAACAACAGTTACTCTAACTACTAATTGTGATATGAGGGTATTTTTTCCTTCTCTTTTTGTAATGGCTTTATTGTGATAGGTTTTCATACTATGCAATTCCTGTCCACTGAAGATGGACAGTGCATTTGTTTTTTAGTATGTTCATGGAGTTATATAACCCTCACCTGAGCCAATTTTAGAATTTTTTTTATATCCCCCTAAGAACCCCATAGCACTAGGTCATCCCCTCGCTGGGTCATCTTTCTAACTTCTGGAAACTACTAATCTACTTGACTAGTCTGGATATCATACAGATAGAATCTTTCAACATGAAGTCTTCTGTAGCTGATGCCTTTCATTTATCATAATGTTTTAAAAACTCATCCACCTTGTAGTATGTGTGTTTCTTTTTATTTGGCAAGAAATAGTCCAGTGTATGAATACACTATTTTATTTCATCATTCACCGTTTGATGGACATTGAGTTGTTTCCATGTTTTGTCTGTTATGGATAATACTGCTGTGAACTGTTTTATACAGCCTGTGATTATGTTTTGTGATTTTTTTTTTCAGTACCAGGGATTGAACTCAAGACCTTGCACTTGCCAGGCAGGTGCTTATGCCACTGAACTATATCCCCATCCCTGTGACTATCTTATAGACCACAGTGGCAAGTCTTATTTTTAAAAGTCTTAAAAGGAGACTGGGCATGGTGGTGCGCGCCTGTAATCCCAGCTCCTGGGAGGCTGTCAGCAGGTGGACCACTGCAAGTCCGCTCTAGCAGTGAGCCCCTGCACAGCTCATAGGGGACTGAGGTGTAGTTCAGTGGTAGAGCACTTGTCTAGCAGGCACGAGGTTCATCCCCAGAACTGCACTAAACAAATTCTTTAAAAGATTTTTTGGGCAGGGGCCAAGGAGATGGCTCACTGGAATAAGTGCTTCCCTGGCAAGTGCAAGGGCCTGAATTCAATCCTTGGTTCTGCAAAATAAAAAAAAAGAAAAAAAGATTTTGGGCATGGTGGTGCACTCCTGTAATCCCAGAACTCAGTAGGCAGAAACAGGAGGATTTTTTTTTTTTTTTAGGGAAGGGGCTACAGAGTGGTCAGGGTCTCACTACTAGATCAGACTCCTAGCAATCAGCCCATTTACAGCCTCCTGAGAGCTGGGATTACAGGCTCGCACCACCACACCCAGTCTCAGTTGCCATCTCAGCACGCCCTGGGGGCAGGGCCAGCAAGGCAGGCCCAGGGATCTAACCCTTGGTCCCTGTGCCTACTTGCAGGCACTTTAATCCGCTGAGCTATTTGGCTGGCCCTAGAGACAGGAGGATTGTTCCAAGTTTGAGACCAGCCTAGACTACAAGTGAGCTCATGGACAGCCTGAACTGCATAGCAAAACCCTGTCTCAAAAAGGCGAAACAATAAATAAAAATAAATAAATATATTGAGGTTAAAAGGGATGAAGATCCAATTTCTGTTTATATTAATTGAGTTTTCTAAGTTCTGTCCTTAATACTCTTTTTTTAAAAGAAGAAAACAAACAAGAAACAGGAGTTTGTGCTTTTAGGTGTATCTCCTGAAATCATGTGGAGCTGGTTTGGGCGGGGGTTGTGCAGGACTGTCTTCTGGTGTCCTGGACACGTGGATAGGGAGCGGAGGTGTACACCAGAGGCACCGGCTGTTGTTCCTTTAGCCCCAGGCTGCACCCAGGGGCCACCAGCTCTGGCCAGTTGCCTGCTTTCTGGTGAAGTGGTTTGTGTTTCTGCACCTCCAATATCCAGTTTCAGTCTGCTTTTGACTTTAAGAAGTTCTAGTGTTGGGTTGTTGCTTTTTAGTAAAACCAGGTGCTGTGAGACATGTGTTGAAAGACAAATGAGCCCTCAAAAGGACTTTGATAAACACAGTCCTAAAAACATTTCCGGGCTTTTTTTTTTTTTTTTTTTTTTTTAAGTACCAGTTAACAGTTTTCAGTTTAACTGTGTTTTCCTTCCTGAAATCTTTGAGACTAGTTCTTGTGATTTATTTCTATACATTGTTTTCAGGGAGTTTCTCTACTTGCCAAATCCAGGCTAGAGACAGAGATGATTTTTTTCTACACACAGACCAAGCATGCAAAAGTAAGGGGGACTTGTATGTGGTCACATCCCGTATTTGTCTCCAACTTAATTGCAATTTCTTTCCCTTTCCTTGGGAAATAGATTTTGAGGGGCATTTTAGCCAAATTGTAGCTTGTAATTTCAGGTGAATCATTCATCAGGGATTGATGAACATTTTTATGTATTTTTAATTTTTTAGTGTAGGGTCTCACTACACAGATCAGACTTGTAGCAATTCTCCTATTTTCAGCCTCTCAAGCTCTGGGATTACAGGTGCACCACCACGCCCAGTCTCTGAATTTTTAATAGGGATCAGCTATTTAAAATAGAAACCTTTTCCCCCATTGTATACTCGAGACAAGCGGTGCATTCTTTTCATATAATTCTCCAAGGTCACGCAGCTGGTGGGGCTGGAGTGGCCACACCCTGGAGTCCACACACAAACTGGCTTGCATTATCTGTAGACACTGGTTGGCTTGCGGTTGAGGCCAAAGCTGCACCCAGCCCTAACCTTGCATGACCCTGTGATCCACACATGCTTACATCTGCCTGTCAGCGTCACTCCCTGGATAGTAGGGTAAAAGGAAATTCCTGTAGGTCTCTGCAGCCCATCTAAGGCTCTGGGGAAGCAGGGACAGAGAGCTGGTCAGGTCTCCTTGTTCCACGCAGCAATAGCCCAGCCATTCCAAAGGCTGCGCAGACAGCCTGGAGCTCTGAGGGGCAGGTCCCCGGGCAAGGCATTCAGAATGGAGCCATGGCCCAGTGGGGACCTAGGCAAAGTGACAGCACAGTTGCAGCTGCAGCACAAGTTGACTCCTGTCCTGCCCAGTCCTCCAGCACAAGCAGGAGGCGTGGAAGGTTTGCTTTATACTGGTTTGCCTTTTACTCGCACATTGTTCCTTCAGAGCATTCAACAAATAGTTCAGCACCTAAATGTATCACATCTGGCTTTGGGGTCTGGGTTTACAGCAAGGAAGGAAAAGACCCCTACCCCTGCCCTGAGGAGCTTACATTCCAGGGCCAGGAAACCAGGGAGAGGGAAACCAGGAGGAAGCCAAGTCTCCAGCTGCCCGGGCACTGTGAGGACTCAAGCAGACGCCTGGTGAAGCCAGGGAGAGCAGTCAGCAGCCCAGG